ATAGAAATAAATGAAATTGTATAACATAATGCAATCCAACGCCACGGACGTTTTGTTACATGTATAAAAATGCTATATACATTTATTTAGTAATTATTTATTTCATATTCTGTTACTTCAACATTCTATGTTTGTTTATATTTTCTTGTCTGTATACTGACAAGACAAATGATGTAATTTTTTAATTCCCTCTTTTTGTTATACTTTCGAATATCATGCTTCTTAGTTTAACAATACATTGTTAAAAAAGAACAAAAGAGGGAAATACTAAGTTACGTGAATTTTATCGTACAGCATTGCAATTAGTCGGGTATCCAGTACAGCAAATTTTAGTTGGCCGTATATAAATAGACCAACAGCATCACATTGAAAATCATGAAACATGGGACGCACAATGCTTACAAAGAGCAGAAAAAGAATATATAAAATAGAAAATAGGTGGTAGGACTATTTATTCTTAAATATATGCCACTTGAAAGTAGCCAATATCGATGCGAAAAAACTTTGTCGTCTGTTGGTCAAATGAGTAAAACAAACATCGCGCTAACAGTTGGATAAAAAAAATGTGCTACCAAAGTTTTCAAGAATCACCCTCCTGATTTGTTAGCCATACGTAGTATCATTATTTGTATCTATACCTACGTCACACTTGATATCACTGACTGGCAGTCATGAATGCCCCTCGTTACGAAAGTTTTGCAACTGTCATCTAGTGTCGTTAGATTTCACAGTGACGAGCACGTGCACGCGTGGTACACGTGTAAACACATACACAAATACTCCCATATATATATATAGTGTGCGTCGTCTTAAAATAAAATGATCTTTAATAATAGGCACCATAGTCAACTTTTCCTTGAAAATCTTGTTTACGAAGTATTCCTATATCTGTCTCTCTGACAAACTTCAACGGATAAAGAGGATCCAATTGTCTATCGTTCAAATATATTTTCGAGTATAAATCTCTCGGTAAGCACTGCTCGTTAAGGCGCGTTTTCATAGCTTGCAGAAACTTTCTGATGGCTTTCGGATTTCGCATTTTATTTTTTTTATCAGCCTCATTGACCTCATCAGCTAACGTAGTTTTTTAATCAGCTCTCACCCATTGACACGCTTTACACTATTTAGATACTTACATGATTCGTGCTACCATCCAATTCTGCTTTGCCGCGCTACATTCTATGCAAACACCTCGACAGGGTGCTCATGTGCAAAAGTTCGTCAGGACTGGAGGACGAGAAAGTTGGTGGTTTTCCCTTTGATCTTTGCGTCCTGCTATAACGTAGTCTACCTTGTGCGAAATGTACGCGCGTCGCTTGAAGCCACTTTGCCACACGATAGGAAAGCATATTTAGTCGTTGAAAGTTCTAAACTTATTGTAAGTTTACTCGTCATTACCGTTTCGCATATATTCGCGCTGTTAAGGAAGCTCCCAGCAGGCTCTTATTATAATCATTTCGTTTTCCCTTGCGGTGTGCTTACTTTTAAAACTCATTTCGTTGCTACTTTAGCCGCGGGAGAAAATACGCCTTTTACGTTTATATACGTTTATTATTCTTCGGGAACTGCGACCGTGATATTTTAAAAGATGAAAGGGTGGCTTGCAAGTATTTTATTTTCGCGAATTGCGAGGATCTCACGAACGTGATATCGATACAAGGAAAAGTTTTTGACTTTTTTTTTGTAGGTGGTATTTCATTGTTACGTTTTGTAACGTGGCGTTAACGAAGCCGGAGTGACTACCTCTAAGAAAGATCGAAAAATAAATAAATAGGAGTTGTCAGGTCGGACGTTCGGCGTTAGGCGACACCGTGATAAGTGCCAGGCTTCACATTTCGAAGGTATCGGGTTCGATTCCCGATCAGAACTCCTAATTTTTTGGAAATTTCCAGCCCTCCAGCGCTCCCTGACGGCTCTCTGGGTAAATTAATTATAGCGGGGCGAGCCGGGAACCCTCTATACTTTCTATCATCCATTTTCTGTGATCTTACCTTATTCACTCTGATTCTTATCTTTACCGCAATAGCAAAGCTAATAATTTACGACCGATGGTATAAATACGTATTTAGTATTCATATTTTCTGGTACAATTCTAATGTGAAAAAAGTATAAATAACACACTGGTAATATATCTCAGATACTTATCACATTTCCAATATTATTACCTTTTCCTGTATACGAAAAAAAAATCTCACCCACGTGGGATTTTTTTAATAAAAAAAAAGAACTTACAGTTACTGAACAATATACGCAAGAAAAAACGGAAGGATAAGTGACATAAAAATTAGAGAAATACATCGTTCTTCATATCTCTTTATATTTCTCATCACGATAGTCGATATACATATAATACACTATGCAAAATAAATTGATCACCAAATTCTTTTCCATCATTCACCTTACGGTACTTCTATCGTTTTTCACTCTACTTACAAATCTTCTGAAATTTTAATATTTTGTAGACACAATAAATTATTATCAACCGATTCCTAAATTGTAAAGTCGATCCACCATTTATTTTATTAGATATTTGCCTTTAAGATTACCATTTTTTGTACGTACTTTGTATACCTAACACGCGGAAGGATACTACTTCTATCACATTTTGCATTATAGCTGCTAAATGGATCTTGCAATTTTTAAATAAAAACAGTGGAGTGTAAAGTAGTGTTGTGGCATTATTCTGAAAAAAGATGACAAATTTTAACCGCTTGGTTTCCGAAATATCGTCATATAAAAAATATGAAGTTATTTCGAATCGGAAGACGGCGACGATTCAAAGTCAATAAATTTGAATTTTACTTTTGCCTGAATTCTGGTATTCTGCGAAGGACTTGAAATAATAATTTTTTCGAATTACACTTATTTAATTTATTAGAATATATTAATAAAATATATTAAAAACATGGATTAATGCTTGCTTTTCAAATATGTAATTATGCAAAATGGAATTTAAATCCATTCGTGTGTCCTCCACTATTTTTCTCAAGAAATTATCTTTTTTACATTGAACACATTTCGAATGCTCGGCAATATTATCCATGTCGACAATACGTCTCTCTTCAAATACAGATTTTTGTGCTTGATCCATGAGGTTATGCAAGACTCCTTAACATTTGGCTGACTTCGCTTTCCACGCAGCCGTAACGGCTTTGAGCTGTTTATCACGTATTTTTTTTTTTTTTTTCGAATCGTCCTTTATACCGTACTTGATCAGACATTTTCTTTTGACTCCAACGAAAAATGAGTATCAAATACTAAGTATCTACACTAGCTAACTCAAGGGGATCGCACTGTTGCCACGATTATAGCGACGCACACTGTATGTATAGAAAGACTTACTCATGCATGAGGTCTTTTTCTGTGAGGAGATGTGGACTGTACAAGATCCGTCAAAAGTTTTCAGGCAGTAGCATTATATATATAAGGGTTGGGTTTTACTATACGCTGCAGTCGAAACTTTTGGTTCGTACGCATACCGATAGAACTACTTTAATAATAATTTTCTGTATCCGTATTTCCAGACAGAAACAGAAGAAAATCTTGGGGTCGAGAACAAGGCATCTCTGCGAATAATACGTATTGTTGTTTCTTCGCATATATTCAGTTCACCGAGATTCAGCTCGGTTATTCTTCCTTCTCTCTTTCCGCTTTCGCTGTGCAATCCGTTATCCAGAAAAATGCAGTCCTCGGGATCGTTCAAGCAAACAAGAATACATCCACTATACGGTAGCAAGAGAAAAACACACTTGGTGTGGTGGGACTTTTCACACACGATTCATGAATGCCAGGTGGACGCACTATATAATGTCTGGTTGGAGGGTATAGCTCCTGTTCGCAGCCGAGACGCGCAGTGACGCTGTTATTTACGAATCATTAGCAGAACTGCATTGACTGATTAAAAGGCAGAGACTTTAATGATTTTCCTGTGGGCTTCTAATAGAGGACCGAGCCGGCGTCGTGCTTTCGCTACAATGGCAGCCTCGTCTGAATACAAATAAGGTCCTGGTCGATCGGGCAAGACTCTAATTGAGAAAGTTCTCTCGTGTTCCCTCGATGGAGATAGCTCCGAAGTCTGCCGTCTGCCCACTCGTGATTAAGGCTGCTGCCTTCAAAACCTCGATTAGAATGGTTTATGAAGTGAGGCCTCTCCTGCCGAAACTGATTTTCAACGATTTACGCCCATCCCGCTGGGACTGTTGGTTTTACGTGAACTTCCACGAGGATCCAATTTGTTTCTGTTACCGAATGAAAGTTCATTAATTGCCAGTTTTCCCTTCTCCCTATAGCGCTGAATAGCTTTCGTAGCGCATTTGGCTGCTTTGAGCCAGTGTTTATTTTTAAATGTTCTCTAGAGCGGAAGGTAAATATGGGTAGGGAGTGAAAATGTCATACGTGTTAAGGGACATATGGGTAAAAGGCTTACCTGATCGTGGGTGTACGGGTCGGTTGAGTTCCGGTTATAAAAGATCTTACAGGTAGAGCACACTTTATAGATGTTAAAAGTACAAGATGCGATTAAAGAATTTAATTTTTGATGAAGAGAAGCTAGAATTTTATTCCTTTCTTACTGTTTATAGAAACGTAAGATGTTTAGATAGCATTAGGGTACCGAGTGCTATTTTTCGTGTTTGTGAATGGATCGAAAATAACGTGGAAAAAATACTCTCACAAGTTACATTAAAATTTTCAGAATCGCTAAAAAGAAGGTGACTAAGAAAAACGGGCTATAGGAAGAGCATGAGAAAAAAATTAGGATTAATTTAAAGATTAACGCGGAAATAGGACATTGTAATTAATATTTCAGAAACTGATAAGTGATCGATCAAGGTCGAAAATCTTAATCGAAAATGTTAAAAACTATCGGAATTCGATGAAAAGAACAGAAAGTTTGAAAATGAATTTTTCCATACGAATTAATTTTTCAAAAGAACCATCAGTCATACGTCAAAACCTATTACAAGAAACAGTAAGAACTTTCTCACTTTGTTGAAAATTACCTGTCGATCGATGTACGCTCTGCGATGCCAGAATAATCAATAGAACCGTGAACATCCTGAATTCCTCCGAGTCTTCAGCGTGAAACTTCTGAAGGCTGCAACATAAAAGGGAGCAATGATTACGCAAGCAGGGAAAATATCCTTGCATGCACGTATATACTTGTTGCAAGTTTGCTTTGTGCATACGCGTACGGTCGTTTTTACGAGTAGCTTCACTGCACCGTTAAAAAGCTCGAGTGCTACTATAGAGTAGAAAAAGTAAAAGCTCCCATCGAATATCGGATATCAAATAGAGTCGAGATGTGAAAAGGACTATCCAGGCGGACGTATAGTCGCATGAGAATGCAAGAGAGGATTCGATGATCACAAGTAAAGGTTACGTTACGGATCAGCTTCTCGTACGAAGCGAAACTCGAGGTAAATTCATGCATTTATATTCTAAACGCAAAATTAGCCCGAAGCGACCATTTGCATAAAATCGAATTAAAATCGGTCACGTGGCGGCACGAAAGCGGGTACGCTTTGTATCACACAAGGTTAATTTTGCAGGGTGCGTTTTTCAAGAGAAAACGAGATGAGGCAAAAGTGCGCAGGATGATCTATCCGATATCAAAGTTTATCACGAAAGGCAGCAGGTAGCAAGTAGATAGACCAATAGCTAAATAGCATTGAGTTGTTGACATGATAAATCAAACTCAAAGCATCCTGCCCATTGCTCGCTGCCTGCTGTTCCCTATCCGTTACCATTGATCTGATCGAGTCCTTAAACCTCTTTTTGACGAAATATGTGTTCACGCGCTATTGTTGAACTTACTGTTGGCCTCAAAGCTCCACCTTTAAGATCACGTAGGTTGACACTACTGTTACACTTCAGTCGGCAAACCCAAAGAACAAAGGAATGTGGGTTGTATGGGTTCAAACCGGTGTTAGGTTTTTGACCCAGGTCATATAAGTGATCGGGAATGTTGAGGGAAGACGGGAAAGAGTGCTGAGGTTTCCAAAGGCAGTATTGCATTACAGTAGGTTAGGTATTGCAAGTTCAGCCATATCTTCCCTACCCTTTATATGGCCATGTGACTATGGCTATTTATTCAAATAAACTCACCTTCGTTAAAAATAAGTTTTGAGGACACGTCACATATATCCATGTTTCTATTCGATGATATATCATGTTTCCGCCTGGCTGTAGAAATACCTATGGGATTTTTCACATCGTCCATGGCAACGACGTTCGCACCCCATTTTCCATATATATGGAGGCGTACAGGTATCTATATTACTTAGCCGGTGGAGAAATCGCAAAAAAGGTGAATATTCATGCGACACTTGGCTGACGTCGACATCCGTATTTGTATTCATTGGCTGTTCGCTCACGAGGTTACTAATAAGCTTGAAAGCATCGATGTATCGTATTCGATCGATATATCGATTTTCATAAGGTTCGTCGAAGAAGTTGTTAGCATCGATGCGTTAACTTTTACTTGAGGATGGGGCTGAAGCGAGCAGACTATTACCCCTCATTGTCCTTTGGCATCACCCCGCTTCTAACTGGTCCCTTTTCGCCACCCTCGAATGCAACCCCTCGTGCAGTCTCGCGCGAACAAAAAGGGACCCGCCTCGGGCAAGAACCGGTATTAATAATGCGGGACTGCGGTGTTGCAATAACGTGGGTGGAGTCTCCCGACCCACAGTAGCTTGATAAACGGATTCGCATAAGTTTTACGCTCGTTCCTTAACTCCTAACAGGAATGCATGCCGCGGCAGCTTCGTCTAAAATTTAAAAAGAGGCAACCCCTTGGCGGTCGGTGGGCAAGATTAATAACGGCACGCCAGCGGCTATGAAACATAGGAAATTTTCGATGCCGCCCCCTTTTCTTCGCCTGCCGCATGCTTTTGGCCTGATTGAACTGGAAATATTATTTTTCAAGAATTTCGATCCTCCGCGCCCAAGAATTTATCACGTTACATTTATAGCAGCTCGGCGATATCGCGAATATCCACGATCTGCTGGGTTCGAATAAAGAAATCGTCGTGTCGGGAATCAAGAGATAAAGGGTGTTTGTTTTTCCTGGAGGTCTAACTGCGCAAAGAGTGAGATCGAGTGGAAGAGAAGAGCTTCGTCCAGGTTCTCGTCTGTCTTATCTACATATTTTTTGATACGACGTTACAGCAGCCTTTCGAATCAACGCAGAAGCCTTTTACTATACGACTAAATCATCCGTAAGGGGAATATTCATGTCGTGACTAATTTCGCTGTTGAAAGGATTAAAATTCGGCTTACTGCGCGAATGGATGATACACTATAATAGGTATTAATCTTGGATTATCTGCGTCATCCATTTTTCACATTAAACTCGGATTTAAGGGCACATTAAAAGAAGATGGCATAGCGAGAATCGAAAAAAATTTGCTCGGTGATGAAAAGGACACAAGGGGGTGTAGAGAGGGAGGGAGAGATATCAATCTATTCGACTTAGGGTTCAAAAACTTTGTTGATCGAATGTACAAAGGAAGAGGAGGAAGTGAGAAATATATAATTAAAAAAAAACGGAAATGAGAATCACAAAAAGGAAGTAATGTAGAAAGAGCAGCGAGACGATTGCAAGGTATAGGTACAGTGAAAAGAAAAAAGGAGAAAGGGGAAGAGTGAGCTAAATGAGTTTGAGATTGTGATTTATTCTGTCGAGGGTCTCTGGAATCGCATTTACCAGCTATACATATATAATTCAAGCTGGGAGACAAAACGATGACAAGGCCATATCGGCATTGCGCAAAGTCTTTTTTGTGATACCTGCTTGGAAAGTTTGATTTTCGAAGCATGTATAGAGTGCGTAAAGTGCCCCATTTCCGAACAGTAAAGAAAAAAAAAAGAGTTGGCGCACGCGCGCATATGCAATACTCTATCTTCCGCACTAGGGCTTTTTTTGCGCATGCGCACTTCAAAATAGCTCAATTTTGCGCACTGTCAGTGACACCATCGGGTGTTTTTATTCTATTCGCCTGTTTCTCATACCAAAATGTCTTTTACAGGAATTAAAAAAAATTTCGTGTATAGCAAGTGCGGATGGGCGATATCCGATCAGTGTAAAGTCAGTACATTCTACACGTGCAATACAATATGGTTTATAACGTCGATTAATGCTATTGGTTCGTTAATGTATTTGGTAGCCTTAGTCACATGCGCGAAATCTTTTGGACTTGCGTGTGTTACGTCATAAGGAGTACGCTCGTTTCGGTAGATTCATCTCGTACCGTAGAAACGAATGATTTATTTGTTGGATTTCCGACGTCGAGAATCAAACGCAGCCTGACATTTCATTTCTGACCATTCCGAATCAGTGATTTGTAATATCCACGACATCATTTGAAGCTTAATAAGTTAACTTCTGGTCTGTCGCACGGAACGCCAATTTCTATCACATTTTTCACGGAATCCGTCGGTGCCCATATATGAGGAACGTGACATTACATTTTCTTCTCTTTCATGAAGGTTATACAATAACTTTTGTTCTCATATTGGGTTCTACGACATTTTGAATATTACCATGTAACGCCCATATATTCTACTATATCGTAATCCATCACTTTGTTTTTTTTTATTACCTGCAAAACCAATTTGGTTGTATTGCCGGGGAACAATTACTTACCGATATAGCACTTTGTAGCGTAAAATTACATTTTTTACAGAAATTGAAGAAAATTCAAGCAAGAGGAAAAATGTTCGAAGTTACATCAGGTCAAAGAATCACGAAAAGTTCAAAGTACCGGATGAAAATTTCATTATGGCATGGGGTACGTGATTGGACTTATGACGTGACGTAAGTAAAACTTGGGTCCATCCAAACAAGTTTTAAGAGTTGAAATTTTATCAAAATTCCGGTGGTTCGACTCAGAAACTTTAATTTTGAGGAAATGTCAAGATTTCTAGGCCGATTCTAATACTTTGGAGTATTGCCTGGGACATGTAACGGTTAACATTTGCGAGGGATGAGAACGGAAACATTGAATAATAGAGAATTTGATTAATTCAATGAAAGAGAAACGGATGTTAGGGTTCAGTTAAACAGACTGGACTACTAATTCCCATTGAAAAAGCAATATAAGACTCGTTGAAAAAAGTAATTTTTCTGGTCGATATTTTTAGAACGTTCCTCGCCCCTCCGAGAAAACCATGAATCATAGCATTGCCTGAAGTAAGATTTCTCAACCGTTATTACTAGAGCAATAAAACTCTTGCACCCTTCCAATCGACACGAGGCTCTCGCCCCTTCGTACGATATCTCTTTGCCATATTATCGTTCTAACATCTGTTGTAGCCGAATCAGATGCCTGATTGGGTTCACATTCCCCATAGATATTGGAATAAACGAAAATTCATTAATTTCTAAAACTTGTAGTCAGTACGCGATTTATAATATATGTGAAATTTTGTTTATTTTCTTATCACGAGCTTATCCCTAAAACTTCCTAGGCATATCAAATTAATGATTGTTACGACAAGTCAATAAGAGCAATGAGCTCAAATCTACTAACCCAAGTTTAACGTGTTTAGCCATTAGTGCTTTGTATTATTGCAATAAATATCAGTCGATTCGTTTGACCTCGTTAGGCTCATATAATATTCTTAACAAGGCATTTATTATATTCATGATTTCATCCATGGAATTCTATACGTATATATACATGACAGTCTCAATGAATAAAAAGGAAAATAATGTAATCTGATCTACTAATAAGTCAACATAAAACATTATGCTGAATCTATCAGCCGCAACACGCAAGTCTCCGTGATGAAATATATATTGTAACGAATTTCTTTTCTATTTCGAACTTCGAAACAAATTAATTTATTGAGTTTCTCATAGCAAAAAAAAAATAAAAAAAAATAAATCAATGATAATTATGAGATTTTAACAAAATAACAAAGCTCTTACATTTATAACAATTCTCATTCATTCACCCTCATGCTTTCGGAATATTTTACATCTTAGAATTGTTCATACAATATACATGATTTAAAACCTTATCTGAATTCAAGATTCTTCATGTCAAAGGTCCAACGTGGCGGTTGACTATGATGGCTTAACAGTCTGTT